GCGGGACTTGATTTGACACATGTGGGCTAGACTGAGGGTCTTTGTTTGGTGATGTTTCAGCAAGACGTTGCTGCAGTTCATAAATCCAATCTGACAAAGGACTTCTCCTCTTCCCATCTCACAAAGTTACTGTTTAGGACCGTTCTACATGTTGATCTAAAACTCACTGAAAATCTTTGCTGAAACACGGAAAGGTAGATTCACAACAAATGGAGTCTTGACAAAAGTTCAGTCTGGAAGACTCTAGTCGCACCTGCCTCATCAATCAGCGCCCGCCTCTCTGCAACCTGGACCTATCGGCGCGGACCAAGCCTCGCTCCAGCCAATCATCGTTTGGGCTCCAAAAGGACCTTCACCCATAGCCTCCTCTGCTCACCAGCTGCGATCAACCCACCTCCACCCCATCTCCACCTTCTGCTCCCGGCTCTCAGGCCTCATCTTCCTCCGACCGCCGCCACCAGTACAGGCCCCGGGGCATCAGGAATGTTCATCGAGCTCATCGAAGTCCAGCTCGATGTCCCCGGCCGGGGCCTGAACGCCAAAGGACTTTGTTTATTTTCATGTTCATTTTGTCATTAAACTCTTTTAATCGCCTTCTTTCTCCGTTTGAGTCTCTCCAGATTGAACTGACGTCAGCTCCAGACCGCGGATACCTTTTGTGTAGCATCTTCAAAAATTTAAGCAAGTTTTAAAACATCCTATATGAAGCACATCCATAGGCAGACTTTTAAAAAAATATATCTTTAACTTTCAGTCAGCTCATAAAAAAGCTGTTTGAGTTGAAATGTCACGTGGCTGTTTCTTCTGCTTGCATGTTGAAGATCAAACTGCAACACGGTCAAGATGTAAATCCATAGATTCGAACGAGGCCACACTCTCTTCTATCTTTCTCTGCAAACTTATCATTCGTGTTCATTTATGACAGACATGTTGCTATTCTTTTCCATGCAAAGAAGCTTGCAGGCCATGCAAAAGTTGTAAAGAGCAGCCAACGTACCAAATAACCACATAATATACAAAAGGCAGGCCACCGACACGTTTTCATTTTGTGTTCTTGTTGTGAAGCTCGTCTTCGTCAACTCCAGCAGGACTTCGCGCACAAATAAAAAGGACAACTCAGCCAAACCAGACAGTCATCTGCACAGCCCTCAGCTGCTCTGCACGCTGTGCATCAGGAGCTCATGGTCGTACGCGCTGAGTCACAAGCACTCAGCGATCACTCACCGCCTCCGATGCTGTTTGTTCCCTTTTCACTTTATGACGTGAATTTAATTGGTTGGGTTCATATTGGATGTCTTCCTTTCTTCCAAAGCCAAAAAAGGTAGTATGTTGAGGAAGGGCTATTTTTAAACCGCCATCAAAAATTGCCCAAATTGGACGATAATCAGCCTGGCTGTATACAGGGTCAGCGAGTACCGGAGCGCCACGCCTCTGTTATTTTACATGCCATAAAAACAGAGAGTGAACATGCTTCAAAGGAATAAACACGTGCTTTTTGTTGTATGAAAAGAGCAAATTAAAACATTAGTTATTCCCTCAAAGGAGGATTAAGTCAATCCTGTTGATCTTCAAATCTAGCCGTCTTTATGTTAATAACTCAGTGAGGCACCTCTTGGGCATAAGATACAAAAATAATCTGTTCTTACCTTCAATGAAGCATTGAAGTACATTTCAGACTTAATATTTATCTTTTTTTCAAGCAAGAAAGGTGTGTCATATTCCCCAATTAAATGGAAGAAATACATGATTTCTAATTATATAAAGATCCACTTCCAAAATGCAGCATGGCTAAAAGACAAAACATGTATCTGTTTATTTTTCATTTTAAAGGTTATTTAGTTTGGGAGTTTATAATTGGACGACATTCAAATAGAAAGGGCAGTTCATTTTAAAACTTGAGAGAAACGTTAACTACAGACAGAGTCTGTCTCTCAACCATCTACTTCCTGTCTTCATGACACCCTGTGACATGTTTAAGTGGAAACAACTTTTTCTTCTCTGTTTTTTTTTTAGATTTTTTTAGATTTTATATCTTTTTGCCTCTAAACAGTGTATCTTTCAGTTTCAACAGTGTATTGAAACTTTAAGGCGCATTGTCAAAAGTGCTGGTAGAAATAAAAAAAACTTGAGTGAGACTGAATAAAAGGTTGTTTGTATTATTGTGTGCAAATACAATGAGAAAAATGCCAATTGCCATGGAAACAAGAAGCAATCGGCACTCGTTTTCCTCGTCTCGTCTCATCTCTTCTTTTCTCATATTTTATTTTTTTTTTCCCAAAAAACAAGTATTTGTTCTTACTCCTCTCAGTTGATTTTAGTCTTCGGCTTGTGCAAAAATTTAGTGGCTCGCAGGCTCCACATCCTGATAATGTCGGAAGATTAGGAGACGGTTAGCCTGTTCAGCGATGGCCTCTGGGAACACGCAGCAATAAACAGTGTGAAAATTGTATCTAGACGTCCAGATGGGCTGCGATTTCAGCTCCTCGTTTGTGATGTTATCTTGGCCTCACGCTTCATTAGCTTCAGAAATTGGATTCTTTGAGCAAAACCTTGGTAATTATATGTCTCGGTGACTTTGGGGAATTTCTGAAAATTGGTACGCATGCTCGCATTAGTTTTGCTCGTTATCTCAACGTTGTTATATGTTTATTTATTTATTTATTCTCAAACTTGCCTCAAGTTCCTTCCAGTATTCAGAGGAACGACTGACACTCTTGTACAATCACAACATTATTATACAGCTAAAAAAAGAAGACATGTACATGAACTGTTGTGGTTCTTATGTAAGAGCTTTAGATTTCTTTTTAAAGTGTATGGCATAAGAGAAAAAGATATTGCTTGATAATCTGTCTTCTGTTTGACACCTAAGTTGCGAGGGGCATTTTTACATCAGTTCTGCAGGATTATTAAGTTCAGCCTTCGAGAGCCGCAGCCTGTCAGACAGTCGAACTCATGCTGTGCGTTTCCAACGGTTGCACAGTTTTCAGAAGGGGCATCTAGGGATAAGCAAATCTGCTGGAGCTGTCTGATACGTTGTAATTACACATGTTACACACTCATCCAAAACATTCACAGTCTGTCATCCGACAGAGCGAGAGGAAACACTGATAGTTCAGAAAAAAAATGCAAATGTTTTTCTGAAGATTAGCCTTGAAGAATCAAACTTAATGTTAGGATTACTTTAAATGCACTTTCTTTGGAAATTAAAAGTTGTCATAAGGATGTGTCACATCAACTTTGAGAACCACTAGAGTTGTTTCATTATTGGTTTCATTGTTGATTTGGTTCCCTTTGTCCTTTAAGGGAATCTGTTGAGGTTTGTAAGAATAAATGCTACCGAGCATTAAGTCATTCAAGCCCTGTTTCACATTAACACCCAGTAGTGTTTAACTTATGTTCAATTGGTACGTAGAGGCTCAAATTGTGCCCAGAAAATCTCCCCCATGCGGACATTATAGGCTCTTGAAAGCATAAATGCTTCTGATAATCAGCGTTAAATCAATTTCCTTCCAGCAGGATTAAAATAGTTTTAATGTTATTGCAATTCTGATGGTGCACATAAGAAATGTTCTATAGAAAAGATGTAGTCTTTTTCGTTGTTTGTGATGTACCACCAGAATTGAGCCATTTAACATTTTTCCTTTAAGAGAAAAGAGTCAAACTGTTTAATCAAGTTTTTCTTCGGAGTTAAAATTTCTTCTGTGGGATCCAGTTGCTTTAAAGCACCAGAGTTTAGCAGATCAACTCTGTCCTGCACATAGACAGTCAATAATCACCAGTAAGAGCCTTTAGCTGACTCAAATATTAATTACTGCTATCCCCTAGTTTGACATAGATGCACAAAATCTTATGACTTTATATATCACCTCAGTAAAACCAACACATTTACACGTCTGAGTAGTTCTGCATCCTTTCTCTTAATATAGCTCGCTCTGTCTTGTGTACCCATCTGTCGCTCGTTTTTGTTGCTCCACAGGCTTTGAGATGTGCATATACAGCCGGAGGGAAGGAGGGCGTATCTACTGAGGCTAATAAAACACAAACGAAACGGGGCAAAGCAGAGGAGAGATTAGCTGTCAGAGCATTTTGGAATGTCACAAAGGTTTCCATCAATAAAAAACGAGGTTTTTAGATCCTGACTCTGATGGAGGGATTGTACCTGACATGCTGTTATTGTCTTTACTTTCTTCACTTTGGCTTTTTATATCGGTTCATCTCAGATAAAAATAGTGTGTCCTTTAGCTATTTAATCCCCCGGTAGAGACGTGCAAAAAGGCCTAAAATAAATGTACCATTTACTGCAGCAGGATAATTATAAAAGAAAACTGTGGTCAACACAATGATCAGCATCACTGAGTATTTCTAAAAGGAATTATGCACCTGAAACCTTTTTTAAAATGTTATCAGAGTTTGAAAGAATAATTAGTAAGCCATGTGAAATATTGGGAATTTTGATTCTCAGTTTTTTTTTCCTTTTTGAATTTGTTTAGCCCACATCAGGTAGTCAGAGAGCCATTATTCAAATAATTTGTTGTTTCTAAAGGTCCGATTTACCAGAGCAGAGGATGGGTAGTAACTAAACTCCACTTTCCAAAACGTATGATTTACAGACCATAGAAACATGAGAATAAAGATCTGCAGAAGACAAAATAACATTCCTATTTCAGCAGATCTTTAAAAGTCAGTAGATAGATGCAGGATAAAAGCCACTCGCCTAAACCTGCTCAGATCTACAGTCAGAGCAAGAATCATAAACTTTGAACTAATGTGACAATCAAGGCTGGATAAGAACCCAGGTGATAAAGTAAACACCTATAAGGCTCGTTGTCAGAGAACCTTTTCTTACCATTTGGGTGGAAACACAAACATCTAAACTGTTAATTAGTTTAGATGAAGTGGATTATGTACCACTTCACAAAACTCAAATAATCTCAAACGGATTTCTGCAAGATTAGAATTAACTGTCCAGTTTCGTCAATAGTCACCAGATCCCAAACCAAAACAGCTCCTGTGGGATGTGGTGGATTTGCATCATGGATGTGCAGCTGAAAAACCTGCAGCGTCTGCTTGATGCTTTCACGGCAATATGGACCAAAATGCTCTGAAACCCTGAAAACTATGCTTGTTGACACCAGTTTTGCCTTGTGCTAGCTAGAAAGAAGCAGGTGCAAAAAAAAAAATTAGTGCCAACCGTGGATGTGTTAGCGGCAAAGGCCGCTAATGGGTTTTACGAATGAAGGGAAGACAAACATTCATCAACATGGTGCCATAAAAGGTGGATGAGTAGCTCAAATGGACAAACAGCAGGTGAGGAACTATCTCTGCGGGCCTGAAACAGAAGAGAGAGCAAACAGGGTGACTGTGAAATGTAACATCAGGGCAGGAACCGGCTTTGGGACGAATGCTCCTCTCTGTGATCACACACACACACACACACACACACATACGCATGCACGCACGCACACACACAGCTTACAGTGTTGAACTTTGTTCAACTCTGGCACATGAGGCTGAGTGAATACATCACCCACCAGTTTATAAGTCACCCCTTCGCGGAGAGAGAAGAGGCAGAGGAGGAGGAGAAGCGATGAAGCAGAGGGAAGAGGAGAAAGACGGAGCAGAAGAACAAAAACAGGATAGAGGGGAACATAAAGGGGAAGGTTTTCTGCATCAAGAGAACATTTTTCTCCTGTTTGGAGTTGGGAGGCCCTGCAGCTGTAAGAATGTGGATAGAAACCAAAACGGAGGTGGAGGAGGCCAGCAGGAGTCGGGCCGGCTTCAGTCGGCGAGTGCTGGATGGTCTGATGTTGTGCACTGGAGACGTGGAGCACTTGGATACGTACATCCAGGGTAGGGAAAGAAAAAGCAAATTTGGACTTTTGTGCTGCTTTAACAAACATTATTCACCAAGTTTTAGAATAACGATAACACTTGTGTGCAAAAACCTGAATAACCTCGGCTAGAAATGCTTACGGTTCGGGTAAAATATGCAGATTTAATCACAGCAGAGCTCCCACAGCGAGGACGCCCGCACTCTGCCTCTAACACAACAACATATTCATCATTACAATCTTTTTTCCAGTCACTTTGCAAAACATCCTGAACTAACAAGAAAACAACACAACAGAGGAATAAATTTGTCAGCAGTAGTTTGCCCCCCCTCCCCCTTTTTTTTTAACATGTTTGAATATTTATCTTTTGTTTCCTGACCAGAAAAGTGGTTTGTGCTGCAGCTGGCTGTGTGGGGGCTCAGAGGGGTGGCCAGAGTGATTCTGGCCAACAACCCGCTGAGCGGAGCTCTGATCCTGGCTGCCCTGTACTGGGCTTCCCCCTGGCAGGGCCTGCTGGGAACTCTGGGAGTACTGGCCTCAACGCTCACAGCTGTCATCGTTGGACAGGACAGGTGGAGTTTACACTGCCGCAGAGATCCAAACTCACTTAAAAACGGCAAATGATGATTTGAAAATTGTCGCAAGAAATCAGTGGTATTATTTCTTGCAACAAATTTTTGGTAAAGTTCACTGAATTATGTCTGAATGCAGTTTTAAGTTCACGCTTCTTATCTGAAAGCTGTACCTCAATGTATGCCTCCCACTGTGAAATATGCTAATGCCTGTCCTTGTTCAAAATCAAACACTTCTCAACTGGAGGCCAAGGTGTTTAGAAATGAGGTGCAGAATACGTTTACCTTCACTCTGAAGTTGCTGCTCATTAAAACAGAGAAGTTTGCTCTACGAGAATCCATAAAGAGTGCTTTTGATCTTGCCAGTTGACGATAATTATGTGTAATAGGTTCCTAAATGATCACATTTCATTATGAAACAAGCCAAGTTGCACTTGAGCTCCTGTGTTTGTGTGCAGTGGCGACGTGGCAGGAGGTCTTCACGGATTCAACGGCATGTTGGTGGCTCTTCTGATGGGAGTGTTCAGCTCAGCTGGAGACTGGTACTGGTGGCTGCTGCTGCCTGTCTGCCTGGGCTCAGCTACATGGTATGAATCTCATATATGCTGAAGCACAGAGTGGAAGACAAAGCAGATGGTGGCATCTGCCGTTTTAAAAAGGCTTAAAAAGTATGATTGTATATGTTTGAAACAGAATGTAAAATGTTGACTCTGTGAATTAGACTAACGTATGCTTTTTCAAATCGTTGAATTTCTATCTGGTACAATCAGTTCACCCTGAGAGAAGAATGATTCAGTAAGCTAAAAATCAATATGATACTCATGACCTTGAAGCGTGTATGAAAGCTTCTCATCAGCATCGCACCTCTCAGCGTTGCTCAGATAAAAAGTTGTTAAATATCTTTGAAGAAAATAGTTGCTGCCACTATAAAGGTGATGTGGTAATATTTCTCTGAACCGTTCCGACAGACTTCACACATTCTTTTCTGTGTGTAAAGAATGTTTTATATTCCAAAGGACACACCCCACTGATTTCTTCTTCTTTACTTTATGGAATACAAGTTGGCAGTCATTTCATATTTCTGAGTTGGATTTCAGTTCTTATCCAAAAATCAAAAGCATGTTTTTCAGCATATTGTGTTTTAATGTCTTTTTATTTAAAAAGCTTATAGTTTTCTCCATTTGCTTTCATTTTCCCAGCGTCTTTCTGTTCAGTGGGCTCACAACGTTACTGGACCACTGGGACTTGCCTGCTGCCGTGTTTCCCTTCAACATCATTATCGTCCTTTACCTCCTGTGCACTGGAACGAACAACCCTTATTTTCCTCACAGCCCAGTAACACCACCGGGGGCAGTAGAGCCTAATGACACAGCGCTGATAGCAGTCGAGGTGAGGACAAAACTAACCGCTATGGACTGCGTGTCCACCCAGCGCGGGTTTTTAAAGTCATAAAATTGTTAAAGACAATCTCTAGGAAGGGGAACATAAAAATACAACCCGACAACGCCACACAGTCGTGAAGACACTAAAGGTATTTGTGAGCAATCAAATTTTTTCTGACGAATATTAAAGTGATACACAGATTGTAGTATCCTACATTTTTTCTTTTTTCATTTTTGAAAGGCGAGGTGTTCATCAGTTTGCAGAAAAACAACAAACAAACAAAAAATGTTTTATGCGATGTAAATGTGCAACAGCAGATCATGTGCACTGAAACTCTGTATCCTAAACAAAGACTGGCTGAGAGCCAACATAAACTGAGACAAAATACAACCAAAGCTTTGACACCGTTTGGTCAAAAAGATCAGTTTCCATGGCTTAACACCATGGAAACGCTCTGAATTTAAAACCACAGTTTTTGTGCTCCAACTTTGAGATAAAAAGCTACCATTTTGCAAAAGGTTGCATGTTGACCTGTTGACCCTCTTGATTTGTTTGGCCCTCCATCACCAGCTGCAGAACAGAATGAAAAAGGCCAAATACCTCTTGAAAAGTAGAGTAACAGTGGTTTGAGTGTCAGTGGGTGTATTCATAATAATATACTTCTATAATTCATATCTATGTATACATCACAAACAGAACACTTGTGCTTGCGAATTAAAAGTAGAAGGTTTTACTCACGTTTATTTGAGTTGTCATCTTCAAGCTTTTCAACGATTTCTCGAAAGTGAATACCTTTTTCCTTGTATTTCTCTGCAACAGCCTCAACCAGTGGAAGAGAAATCCTGAGTTAATGCGCCTTCTTGAATAAAGATGCGAACCTCTGTCAGCTGAAAAGGTCAAAACTCGATTCTGTTTGATCTTTTCGTCTTAAGGCGAATGCTTTCCCGGAGCCAGAAGCCTTACTCAGAGAAAGAAAGAAGAAAAGAGAGGCGGCGTTTAAGTGAACTGACATAATTCATTGTTTTTAATATGAGATATTTTGCTTTGAAGTTGCAAGTGGTATGGTAGTTTACCACAGACAGATCTGAGAAACTCCAATTTGTCTGAGTGATGTCGTTGTGAACAGTTTAAAATTTAAGTTTGTGTTGCAGTGACGTTTCATCTCAAGTTTCTTTCTTCGTAATTCAGCCTCTGGTTTACAGTTCAACAACCTTCCAGTTACAGATCCCTGCAGGGAATCTGTTACGTTTAAGTTCAAAAAGGAGAAATTCAACAACTGGAGAACTTCAAACAAATCTGGAAACTACTGGAGAATAAACTTTAGCCAGGAAGGATGAAGATCGGGTAAATGAAAACCTAGGATGGCTGCATACTAAAAGACTTAAAAAGAACATGCATTAATGTGCAACTAAAAGTGGGTGTCAGGGAAGAATGAATGGAAAGATGGGCAGAGTCAGAAAATGCAACAATACCATTGCAACACAGATTTATGTGAATTTAGTCAAAGCTGAACCACGAAACACAAAAAGAGAAAACAGAGAAACCAAACAAAAGAATCCCTCAAACAACAAAAACTGACCCAAATAAAGCTAAACTGGAACACGGCTGGACGCCTCCAGAAGTGACTGATAAGTAACTCAGGCAGATCTGCTTTTCTGAGCTACAATCATAACCGAAGCTCTTGGTTCAAAGTTATGAACAGTAATATTTAACATGTTGTTTAAATTAGAGTTTTAGTCTGATTACATCCCAGTTTTCAGGTCTAAAGTTTTACTTTGGTCAGTTTCAATAGCAACAATTGGATACATAAGGATTATCCCCAACATGACCAAATGGAAAATACCACTTTACAGCGTTAACTTCTACAAAAGAGGCTACTTTTGTTGTAAGATTGTACTTGTCTGGTAAGTCACCTGCGACAAAGGAATCAGTGACTATGAATCTTTACAATTAAATAGCGCATCAGAACTAGGTTCAACTCAGGAAGAGCAAGGGAAACAATGTGTTGAACAAAACACATTTAATACACATATAGACAATAACGAAACAGAACAAAATAGTCAATGTTTTCTTTTAGTAGTCCTAAGTCAAGTCCAAAAGTTTCTTTTCCTTTCATTTGTTTGCAGTTCAGTTTTCAGATCTTGATGTTATATGGTAGCTACCCGGGTCGTTTTAATGTGTGTAATCCCACCGATCAAGTGGAACAGAAGAAGGTTCTTCTTTGACATCGTAATGGACACAACATCAATCTGCTCTTTTGGATCATGGCTCGCCGTTCTTCACGCAATGTCTCTCAACAAAAATAAAAACTTCTTGCATATAGCAGAAATGTATTTTACTATAGTGTGAAACACCATTCTAAGTCACTTCAGTGAAAGTTTATCTTTTCACTCCATGTAGATAACATAATTTCCAACTGCGATAACCAATTTTGTCTTTTAGCTCAACAAAACATCACAACATAATATTCACTGAATTGACATATCTTTTTCCAGCATTCTTAAATGCCATACAGTGGAATAAATAACTCACTGTCACTAGATACTTCATCAGTATTACAAAGAAAAAAGGCGCAATATTAGCAGAATAGCCTTTGTGAGTTAGCCGTAAGCATTGCTAATTCAAATACAAAACATAATATAGAGAACAGACATTCTTACCCATAAACAAATATCTCCAATTGTTTTTTTTTTCTTTCAACATTGAAACTATAAAATAAAATTACAATATAACTTTTGATACATAACAGCAAAATATTAGCTTGTGGCTAATCGATAGCTAATGAAGCCAATTATAGCAGATTCGCAGCAAGAAAACAAAGAAATTTAATATCAAAAACAAAGTTATTCCAGGTCCAGGTACACAGGAATCAAAAAATCCATCGATGAAAACTAATTCTTGAAAAATATTGAAAATAAAACTGAGTTTTGTCAATAAAATGACCACAAAAACGTGACCCCCCCCCGTTTCTTCTTCTGGTTATTCTAGCCCATATTCTGCGGCATATCACTGTAGTTTTAGACTACTTTGAAATAATTTACTGCCACCTATCGGCAATGTGGTGTATTACAGGATATAATTCATATTTGTTAAGTTAACATTGGTTACATTGTTATTTAACTATTTAGAGAAAATTATTTAGCAAAAAGCTTCAGTAACCAGATGCAGTAGCTTCTGCAGCCAGAGTTGGATCCCATTCAACCTTCAAATAATTATGTTCAGTTATGCACTCAATACTTGGTCGGGAATCCTTTTGCAGAAATGACTGCTTCAATGCGGCGTGGCATGGAGGCAATCAGCCTGTGGCACTGCTGAGGTGTTATGGAGGCCCAGGATGCTTCGATGGTGAAATTAAGCTCATCCAGAGTTTTGGGTCTTGCGTCTCTCAACTTTCTCTTCACAATATTCCACAGATTCTCTATGGGGTTCAGGTCAGGAGAGTCGGCAGGCCAATTGAGCACAGTAATACCGTGGTCAGTAAACCATTTACCAGTGGTTTTGGCACTGTGAGCAGGTGCCAGGTCGTGCTGAAAAATGAAATCTTCATCTCCATAAAGCTTTTCAGCAGATGGAAGCATGAAGTGCTCCAAAATCTCCTGATAGCTGCTGCATTGACCCTGCCCTTGATAAAACACAGTGGACCAACACCAGCAGTAGACATGGCACCCAGACCATCACTGACTGTGGGTACTTGACACTGGATTTCTGGCATTTTGGCATTTCCTTCTCTCCAGTCTTCCTCCAGACTCTGGTACCTTGGTTTCCGAATGACATGTAAAATTTTCTTTCATCCGAAAAAAGTACTTTGGACCACTGAGCAACAGTCCAGTGCTGCTTCTCTGTAGCCCAGGTCAGGCGCTTCTGCTGCTGTTTTTGGTTCAATAGTGGCTTGACCTTTGACCTGGGGAATGAGGGACCTGTGGTCCATTTCCTACACACGCCTGTGCACAGTGGCTCTGGATGTTTCTACTCCAGACTCAGTCCACTGGTTCCCCCAAGGTCTGGAATCAGCCCTTCTCCACAATCTTCCTCAGGGTCCGGTCACCTCTTCTCGTCGTGCAGCATTTTCTGCCACATTTTTTCCTTCCCACAGAGGTGCCTTGATACAGCACTCTGTGAACAGCCTATTCGTTCAGAAATTTCTTTCTGTGTCTTACCCTCTTCATTGAGGGCGTCAATGATGGCCTTCTGGACAGCAGTCAGGTCGGCAGTCTTACCCATGATTGCAGTTTTGAGAAATGAACCAGGCTGGGAGTTTTTAAAAGCCTCAGGAATCTTTTGCAGGTGTTTAGAGTTACTTCGCTGATTCAGATAATGAGGTTAATTGCTCGTTCAGAGAACCTTTTCATGATATGCTAATTTTTTGAGATAGGAATTTTGGGTTTTCATGAGCTGTATGCCAAAATCATCAGTATTAAACAATAAAAGACCTGAAATATTTCAGTTGGTGTGCAATGAATCTAAAATATATGACAGTTTAATTTTTATCACTACATTATGGAAAATAATTAACTTTATCACAATATGCTAATTTTTTGAGAAGGACCTGTATGCATAAGTACATAGAGCAACTACACAAAATGTTAAAAATGTCTAATTGAAATGCAAGTTAGTAGTTCAGCAGCATTCCACAATATTTATGGGAAGTAATACATTTACATTAAATAATATAAATGTTGAATCCATTAGAATTATAATTTTATCTTTAGATTCATTCAAACAGGCTTATGCAATAACACTTTAGTATCTCCTCTCCCAGTTTAAAACGTATTGAGTGTTAACACTGTGTGTATCTTTTTCCACATTTTTATAACATTAATCCTAATAAAACACATGAAGAGATTGTCCTCCTCCTCTATTGTTCCTCTATTATTCTGCTTTCTATCCACAAAGGATATTATCAAACTATAATGTTTAATGTCTCAAGCAACACTAGAATGTAAATGCAAAGTCATTAGATGTTCAAGAAACAATGGATAAAACAATCCATCTTTTCAACAGTAAATATCTTTATTTTGTGACCAATAATCAAGATCTATTTTCCACATGAATTAGATTTTCCCAGATGGATTTTTTCCTTTACAATAAGTTGTTCTAGGGTTTTTTTTTAAACTGCAAAAGCTTTAGTTTCTACCAAAAGTTTCCTCTGTATTAATTTGCCCTTGCGAATATAATTAAGCCGATTTGTAAGTAAGCCTTTAAGTACAAAGCTGCTTTGTTTGGGTAGGGAGGATGAACTGTTTGTCTCTGAAGGATGATCTCCAAACTGACATTGAGCTTTGATGCCGAAAAAAATCAGCTCGGTGTCCCGAATATCAGAATTTAGACACAATGTTTATAACAAGCGCCACACTAAACCACTTTCTACAAGTTTCAGCTCCAAGATCTCAGATTTTCTTATCTCTTTCTCTCCATGAATCGTTATTCATTTAGCCCTTATCTCCTCCGAGCTCATTTTCAATTTGTTTCATTTTCAAGTCTTTGTGGGCCGATAAGACGTTCCTTCCTGTTTATTTCTTGTTAAACACTAAAAATCTTCCTCTCATCTCTTTGATTCTGTTCTCTTTTGCCACTTTTACTCTCTCTCATTTCGTTTATCCACATCTTCATCCATTTGTTAAAAATATTTTTTTCCCTCTTTCCTCATAAAGTAGCTTGATTTATGCTGTTCATTCACAAAGATGGTTGAAGTCATAGATTTCATTTATGGCTCTAGTGGAAAAAAAAGAGCAATATTTCTCATTTTTCTCTCTTCTGTTCCTCTCTTCCATTCGTTTTATTCCAGCCATCTTCCAGCTCTCCTCCAGTTCTCTCCCTAGATGTGTTTGGGGGGGGTGGGGGGGTGACGTCTGTCCTATTTATATTTAATGCTCTCAGATTCAGTCGCTCTGCCGAGGAAAGCGCTCAGCCTGCTCAGACAGCGTATTAAATCATACAGGCATATGCGTACACACACACACACACACACACACACACACACACGCACGCACACATACACACGTCGAGGTAAAAGCAGTAGTGAGGCTGCCGTGTAATCAAAGACCATTTATGACTTGTAAATATCAGCGACGTGCAGGTGCAGCCTTCACGTCGCCATGGCAACTCTCCGGAGCTGAGTGACTGCTGGGAAGGCACCGTTTATCATTAGAGGTGTCTAAGCAGGAAGAGGTGGAGGGGAGTACAGGTGATTTATAAAAAGAAAAGAGCAGCAGCATGTTTAGCTACGTTTTTCCATAAAAGTCTGTTTTAAAGTTTTCATAGTGCCAGTTTGATTTCCCGTTTCGCCAAGTTCGTCCCTAAACTCTTTACACCTGCCCAGGTGATCCGTGGCATCCCTCTCGGTGTGGGTCAGATCTACGCTACCGGGGCCCTCGGACCCTCTCTCCTCATCCTGGGGGCCGTGGTTCTCTACTCCCCGCTGCTGGGCGTCCACGCTGTGCTGGGATCAGCAGTGGGAACGTTGGCCGGTCAGTCCTGCTGCTTCTTTGTCACCCATCAAAACCAGAATAACCAATATAATGCTCACAGTGCACAGACATCAAACATATACAGCTCTGGAAAAACATCAAGAGACCACTTAAAGCTATCAGTTTCTCAGATTTTACTTTTTATAGGTATATGTTTGAGCAAAGCGAACATTGTTCTTTTATTCTATGAACTACTGACAACGTGTCTCCGAAATTCCAAGCAAAAATTTAGTATTTATTTGCAGAAAATGAGAAATGGTCAAAACAACAAAAGAGATGCAGTGCTTTCACATCTGAAATAATGCAAAGAAAACAAGTTCATATTCATTTAGAAACAACAATACTAATGTTTGAACTCTGGAAGAGTTCAGAAATCAGTACTTGGTGGAAAAACCTGGAGCTTTTCAATGGGATTCAGTGCGGTGGGCTCTTCATTTTTTCCAGAGCTGGACATCAACTTTAGAGAAAGTAAAATAAAAGAAAACCATGTGAGGATTTGTGTTTTTCTGTGTGTTAATTTAGTTCCTGTCATCTCACCTGCCCCTATCTGTTCCCAGCTGTGTCTCGTTTTCCCTGATTACCTTCCCTGTGTACGTAAACCCACCTGTGTCTCTTGTTCCCTGTCAGATCCTCGTCGTATGTCATCTCATTTGTCTGATGTCCATTCGTGTGTACTAGCAGCTGCTACCAAAATCGGGGCAAACCCAGATTTTACTGGAGGAACTGTTTATCCCTTCTGTCCCCCTGAATGAGTTGGAAAGGATGACGGAGCAGAGAAACGTCTGGGTTTCCCTCTTGGATCTCTTGTCCAGTGTTGACTTGGTGGGGTTGAGTCATATCACACTGAAGGCAGTTAATAAACATTTTTGTTTAGTCTGCCTGGTCTAGATTCACTTAGTTATGTTAGATTCAGTCAAAAGCTTACGTTCTGAATATAATTAAAGTGTAAGGTCCTTTAGCTCTATAAGTCACTCCCAAATTGGACATAGCTTTAATTGGGATATTAATTTGAAATGTTGTAGTTGGTGTATGTAGCTGAAACTGACCAGATTCTTCATCCCATTTCTTTTTATGATTCTTCTTCTCTTTGCTCCTTGAGGCTTGTTTTAAAAATAGGCTGAGTTTATTTTTGACATCCGATATGTTCCTAAAATTAAAACAAGGTGATTTCATGACGTTGACTTGGAGCACAAGAATCAGGCTAACACTGGGTCACATTTGTGACATGACAGCAAGCTACTGTGGTTCTGTGGCTTCTTTGTTTTTAGCTTCTGTTTGAACAGACAGAGTTTTAATTAAAGACAGAAAAAGACGCAGCAGTGTCACCCAGTCCACATTTTTAAATAATGGCAAGTTATGGTCTGTGATCACGAAACACACAATTATCAAGGAAAGGTCAGTTCTTCCTCAGTGGTGTTCATCATATTATTTTTAGAGCTAGTGATCTACAGTCTCGTAAGTAGCTGCACGTATCCAGAGTTTTCTGATCGTGACTGTCTGATGGTAAAAGCTGAGCTGCTCTCGAGAAATTTTATCTTCTGGTTCTGTTGGGATGCCTCTTGGTTTTTGTTTTACATTGATTGTTTCAGAGAACCCATTTATGTCCAGTTGCCATTTTCTTAAGTGCATTTGCAAAGTGAAAGCAATTTCATTGTTGTTTGCTTTAGATCCAATCTGAAATATTTTACTTATTGCTTTCTTTTATTTGCCACCTGTGCTTTTTATAAATTACCTTTATTTCTGACTGAAACTGATCTGTTTGTTCCTCTATAGTTGCCTGAAAATGTACTAATGGTTCTTGTACTTGTTCATATTTTGTCTTCTATATCAACACAAAGTGTAATTTGGGTAACATGCATCACACAGTGACTTTATGCGTTTCTGATTGGGACATAAAAAATGCAAACAGACAATGCTAAACATTTTAACACGGTTAGTAATGACCACAGCTCAAAACTTTTTATTCTGCACTTATTTGCTTACATTTACTCCTATATCAAGCTGCAGAAGTTCTAGTTTTTTTTGTTTGTTTGTTTTGTTTTTTTTTTAAACAAAAGCTCATAATTCTTATTTTATAATACTAGTGGGAATTGTGTTAAATATTCTTGTGAGGTGCAAACCAAGTATTTGCGTCCTGATGAAGGCTTAAAATAAAAAAATGCTATGTAGCTGAATAACTAGCTCACATTAACTATGTGGTGCATTGCTAAAACATTTCTTTTTTTTTTTACATGAAACATGAGCACAGCAGAAATCGCCTCGTACAAATCAAGCCAAAAAAGCTAAAATTTCCATATTTGATAATAAAAAATCTCCTGCAGTCATTTTTTTATTGATTAGTCAGGACCTTAAACAGATTGCAGGATCAGCTTTCTGCAAGGCACCCTTTCAACTGTAGAATAGTTTAATAAGATTAAAGTTATCTCAGACTTATGAAACCTTTTAGCAACTACACGCATTCTCAGTGCAGATATATAATTAAAGCTGATGTGATACAAGAGGCAGGAAAAGTCTTTGTTGGCACTTATACTCTGGGCCTGCATCTGTACTATATGCATTTACAAATGTCTGCGCTTTTATGCGCTTAATTTAAATATTCATATAAGAAATGATAAATGATGTAATTCAAGCCATGTCGCCACTGGCCACTAAAACTTTAGCACTGAGTACTAAAATACTTTGACAAGCTGTGAGTCATTCTGCAAAAAAAAAAAAAAGAAAAGAGTGGGAGTGAGCTGGTGCACAAATATGCAAACAGAAAACCTGGGGACATTAGACTTCTAACAGTGGTTAGTATGCAAACACAGATTTCTGTAATAAGCATTAAGGATATATGACCCTAATGAGGCTGTGTGGGCATCAGAAAGTAGACGGAGCAGTCTGCCGGAGCATGGCGGTTTAATGCCTCTAAAGGTCTCTCTCCTGTTGCACATTATTTCTTTAATGCTTCTTCATTATTTCTGACTTTCTCACAGATTTGAAGTCTGGTTTCATTTTCCCCCCATTAGTGTTCATGTCTTTAGAGGAGGATTAAAGAACTCTGGTCGTTCACAGCATATATTGATGGACAAAAATTGAAGTTAAAGTTGTTTAAAAGTAAAGATCTAATCAGAAATGCGTCTTATCACCTTTTACTCACGTCTGCTCAGGAAAATTTTGAACTGCAAAAGAAATGACATCAAAACCAAGACCTGTTGTGTCCATTTCTTGTCAACTTTTTAGTGAGTTTTCAGAACTCGTCTTGTGGCTTTTCGCAGATCTTTGACTCTTTTTTTCTAGTCTTATTGGAGACTTTTGGAGATTTCTGGAGAGAGCACATTGTGTTTTAGGACTGCAAAAGATTAATGCATGTGTGAGAGGTTCAGCCTTCCCTGGCTGAACCTCTCACAGTAATTTGCAATGTGAAAATAAAATCTTCTTTCTCTATATTCATGTCTATGATTGTATTTGTTTGTTTTTTATGTTATTTGTCTATTACTTTTCTGCTGATTCTTTGTCCTTATCCTTTCATGCCATATTAAGATTGTTCTATTGTTTAAGAATCTTTATTTCACCTCCTGTTTCCAATTCTCTATTTGGAACCTGGTTAAAATTACATTCTGACAAATATATACAAACCCATTCAATAAATCTGAATATTATTAAAAAGCCCATTTATTTCAGGAACTTTAACCCTGAGTGAAACACACATAGATAAAACATTTATTTCTGCTATGGTTTTCCACCTAAGCAGCTTTTGCTTATGAGAACAAATTTTATTTTTAGGATATTAAATCAGACCAATACAAACAGTTTGTCTAATGCTTGCGTGAATCTTGTTGTTTTCAAAATCTGCTTTTAATTGACAAATGACACTCATCATTTCAAATTTCTGATAGTTTCTGACTCAGAAATGATTTCGTCCAGGAACATTTTAGGTAAACAAACTGCTCCAAACACCAACACAGCTCTGACACTTGCATAACAAACTTAATTTGTCCAAAAATAGCATCTTCTTATTTTGTCACTGTGTCCTCTGGAACCTGCTTGTTTTAATTTGAGAAGTGCATGAGCTATTTTTACTTTGTCTATGAATTATTTCCACTGATTTGCTTTTTAACATCTAAGTCAATGTTAGAAAGCAAAGTCCTTTCTTATGTAAATATGCTACTTTCTAATAATTGAGTTTGACTCCTACCTATGACTCATTTTTCAATCAGTACTTGACTTAATAAGTCATAAACTGTTTATGTTCTCTGCTGATTGCCTAATTAAGATGATTTTGTTTTGCAAAAATTTCTAAAGGACGATGCTTTAAAAAAAAAAAAATCAACTCTTTTCTCTTTGCATTTAGATGTAGCTTGTCCTTTTTCTTTCATCTTTTCCTCACCTACATATTGAAAAGTGTGGGAGAGTTCGTAGTGTGATATTGCTCTGCGATGTCACATTTAAACCCAATTCTGCTACTTGACAGTTCACATGAAAGGAACAGAAAGATTTCACCGTCGGCAGGCAGAAACTCGAATGTCACAGGCAGTTTAATTACAGGTCAGAGGGTTTTGAATATTGGAACAAAAAGATGGTGAATAAACCGCAGGCAGGGAGAGATCAGTCGGGAAAAAAAAGACAGCGACGCTTGAGAATGCAGAAGATGAATACACAACACTTGAACTGAGCCGAAAATGTGTTTTTCTGTGCTTTACATCTCACTTCTTTGGCACTTCAAGGTATTTTCTCTGTTTTACATCTTTTTTTTATTATTTTATTTGCAGCTTTTTTCCTTTTCCTTTTTGGTTTCCATAAAGGTGTACCTTCCTGTCGTCCTAGTCTCCTTGTCACTGACATTAGTCTGCTGTTGATTTAATTATCTTCAAATTTCCACCAAATGCTTGGTGAATGCCTGGCTGTGATTTCCTTTAGGGAAACCACATTTGATGTGCAGCCAAATATGAAGGAATGAAGAGTTAATGAAATATCTTCACCTGTTACGTTTACAAATTATGCGTATGCTGTATGACGTG